TCTAAATAATGACTATTACATGGAGGCTCATAGGAATCAGAACTGGAAGGAACCTTAGAGACTATCTAGCAGCTCAACAACATTTTATGGCTATGGAAACTACTATTCCTAAACACTAGCATTAATACTACAAAGATTAAAGATGGTTGACTCCTTGAAGCCAGTAAGTATGGCATTTCCTGTGTTCTAGGGGAGATGTAATGATGGAGAAATGTTTTTAAAAATACTTCCACAGCATCTCCAAAGAGTCTTTCAACAATAGAGAAAAGTACAGGCTTGTTAGGAGGAAAGAGGTGGGAGGCAATGCGGACAAAATGATACCATCAAAGCCCATACCCAAAATACTGCTCCTGGAGGTCAACGTTGTATGAGGGTCACTGGATTTTCAAAGACTAAGCCAGAGAAATGCAAGGTACTTCTAAGTCCTTCAAATTCAGTGGGCTTTCCCATTGCTTCTGTTAAAAAATCCTCACGTTGCCTCGGTAAATTCTTGTTAGAACATTTTCTTTATGTATCCCACAATCTAGTATCAGGGAGGTCTATTTTGGGCACCATCCAAAGAAACTTATCAGTGAATTACAGATCTGAACTGACCTCAGAATCCTGAGGTCCTGAATGGACCTCAGAATATTTGGTGGAGCACAGTGCCTTGAGGCAATCCCCATTTTACAACTGAGATAGCTGGTGGTACAGTGGATAGAATTCTGGGCCTGGAGTCTGGAAGACCTGAGTTCAAATCCCACCTCTGACATCTTACTAGCTATGTGGCCTTGGGCAAATCATGTAACCTCTGTTTTCTCAATTGTAAAATGGAGATAATAATAGCACCTACTTCCCAGAGTTGTTTTGAAAATCACATGACATGATGTTTGCAAAGCACTTAGCATAGTGCCAGGTACACATTAAGTGCTATATAAATGCTAGCTATTATTGCTATTGTTATTATTAGATGGGGCATCTGAGGCCCAGAGAAGCTTAAGGTTAGGTAGCAAAGGTATTGTTAGTGGGAATACTCAAAGAATACTTATAGCTGTAATACTTCTATGGAATGCACCCTAAGACAAACATTATATAGTAAAGCTTCAAGATATTGTGGTACAGTAAAATGAAAGATGGATTTAATGTCAGAATTCCTTAGTCTCCATCCCAGTCCTTGTTGTGCCATTGTGAACAAATTCCTTAACATCTTTGGGTTTCAGTTTCCTCCCCTGTAAAATGGAGCAAATACACTATATCTTACAGGATTATTGCAAAGAAAACATTTTGCAAACATTGCAAAACTACAGAAATGTCAATTATTATTATTATTACTACTAATACTACACAAATACTCATATCTATAATATTTTTAAGAAGAATTAATTTTTAGGAAGAGGGATCATATATCCTTCCTTCTCCATTACTTAAAAGTGGTTTGCTCAAGGTCAAAATGGCCAAGCCAGAATGTGAACTGGGATCTGACTCCACATCCATGGTTCTTTCTAAGCCCACCATGTTACCTCCGTGTTGACCAACAACAACAAACAATCCTTGGAGCACACAGCAACCAGGGTTATGTGTTTCTTTTTGTCACCTCTCTTATGTAGTTAGCTTGGTACAACAGAAAAAGACCTAGACTTGGAATTGGAAGACCTGTGTTTGTGATCTGGTTCCAACACCTCTCAATTCAACAACCATTTATTAAGCAGTTACTATGTTGAAGGCACTTGGCTTGGTACTAGGGTTAAAAAGGCAAAAAGCAACAAAAAAATAAAAAACAAAAAAAAACCATACTAAATTTCTGCTATCAAGGATTATACATTTAACAGGGAATACAATATTGTAAACTGGCAAGTTTAGTGTAGCAGCTCACTAGCTTTTGAGCTTATTCAGATCACTTTTCTCTAGGTCTCAGTTTCCCACATATAAAATGAGGGGGTTGGACTAGATAAGGAGTTCTTAACCTGGAGTCTATGGACCCTAAAGAGTTCTGTGGAGAGATTTCAGAAAGCCCATGAACTTGGATGGAAAAAAAAAATTACATCTTTATTTTCATTATTCTCTGGATGCCTTTGTATTCCTACGCATTTTATTTTATGCACTTAAAAACATTTATTCTGAGAAGGGGTCCATAGCTTCACCAGAGTACCAGTGGGATTCATAAGACACAAAAAATGGTTAAGAAGTCTTGGACTGAATAATCAGTAAGGTCTTTTCCAGCTCTGACATTCTATGTTCTAAGGTCCTTTACAACTCATTCTTCATCCTCTATAGCTTTCAGTTTTTGAAATCAAATAAAAATAGGTATTTTTTGAGAATATCACCATAGCTTAAGGCTCTTATAATCCATTAGAATATTCAACAATAGTCTAATTTAGGTGTATATGATGGCCAGTGTAACAGAAGTTTGAATAAATGGGTGCAACTGACAGTCCTATATGATCTAAATTTGAATGAATATTGTGTATGAGAATACATATATGCTAAAAAAAAAAGTTTGGTTAATTTGGAGGATTAAAATTCAAAATCCAAATAGTTAACTCAGACAACATATGGAGAGATCATGAAAAGCTGAGGAGTTGAGAAAGAAATTATGGTAAGACAAATTTCTTTAATAATGAAATAATTTATTATCTTTTTCTTATTATTTTTAACAGTTGAACAATACAGAAGTTTACATATACACAGCAAGGTTCTCTAAAACATGTAGTTTCTAAAAATGCATGTGCTCACTGTAGTAAAAGCACCATTCTCTATGGTCGTGACCCAGGATTTACATTGGCGCGGTATTTACATTAGGAACTGAACATCTGGAAACAGAATTTCACTCTCCCATCTGCTGCTCCCCCTATTTAGGATGTATTTACCCTTCAGAAGACATCCCCACCCCCAAATTGATGATTTTAAAGAGCAATATTACAAAGAGCACCAATTCTAGGAATAAGGGATAAAGGCAAGTGTGGTTCTTAGGCAAAATTTAAAAGAACTGCCAACAAAAAAAAAAGAAAACTTGAAGATAAATTAAATCTAGATAAATCTACAGATTGGCCACTTTACTGACTCTGATTTTTATGATTTTGCTAGAAGACAAGATACTCAATTTTTTTCAGTCATGCAACAGCTGTTTTGAAAGTCTGGATCTAGCAGTGCCAGTCAATTAATTATTTTCTCATAAGTCTATGGCACAAGAAATTCATTCATCTCATAAATACGGAGAGTAAAAAACAAAAAACAAAAAACCAACCATGATAAATCACACATCACTTCCCATTCAGGTAGCAGAAAGAAAGAAAGAGAAAATATCTTATAGTACTGAGAATTATCTAGAATGAGGCATCCCTTTTATCTGGGGCCCATTTAGGTTCTCTCCTCCCAGAAAGTACTTTAAATAGGAGTAGCCAGCTATCTATCCACAACTGTTGGTGCACAGATTTACCATGCAAGTAATAGCCATTTTTCCCACATGTTGACATGCCTGCCTTTTCCCACTAGATATTCAATTCCAAAGGGAGGGAGGTGAGTAGGATGTCAGAGAAGCCAAGAGGAAATAAGGGAGAAGGCAACTAGAGATCATCTATAGCATGGTTAAAAAAAAAAAGAAAAGAAAGAAAGAGAGGGAGGGAGAGAGAGAGAGAGAGAGAGAGAGAGAGGAAACCTTCCTAATATAGCACAGTGGCAAAACTCAAAATTAATACACAGGTACGGGCAGAAAGAGGAAACCTTACCAACTCCGTCATCCAGTCCTAAATATTGTTAGATTGTTACTGCTTTCATTGGTTGATGTGGAGTGAGTACTACCCTCCTCTCAAATACACAGTGTATTCTTGGCCACATCTCAGGGGGTCAGGGCAGAGGCAGTGGAATGCAAGTCAGAAGTTTTGTTTCATTTCATTCAAAAACAAAAACAAAAAACCCGAGGTGGAGGATGAGGGGAAGTGCCAGGGAGTCCCCCCAACCAAAGTGCTAAAGTGGTTGGCCAATTGCAGAACAAGACCCTACATAATGCCCAACACTGAAATACAGTATTGAAATCATTTCTGCCTGTTTAAGGACAGGCAGAAGAGTTCCCTGGTCTGCTCAAAGTGCTGTGCTCTTTGAATTGGTATCAAATTAGCATTAACCTTGTGACTCAAGAAATTCACATGGCATGGCTATCAGCACCTTGAAGAATTCAAGAGCTCTGCTTACCAGAAGAAAGCCTGAAATAAATACACAATGGGTGCTCAGCACTCAATACAAAGCCCCAAATAATAAAGACAATACTTTTTGGGATATTAAAATAGAACAGCGACATGCTACATATACATATGTTACTGTAAGAATTTCATTAAGCTTATTACCTAAGTGCAAGAGTTTGGTTTGTTTGTTCCAAATAAGGACCAGAAGCCTCAATTTCACCATTTGCATTGCAATGGTGAAACCCAAGAATGCAGTGATTGGGTGCTAGTTTAAATCAACTTTCACACAAAAATATGCATGTACCTATGTGTACATACATATCTATCCATAGATACAACTGTCAAAGTCTTAAAGGCTGGGGGTTTACATGTTTGGCCCCTCCCCTCCCCCACCTCAACTACCCCATCTAAAAAGGTTTTCTTTTTAATAAAAACAAAAAAAACAAACAAACAAAACCCCTGATGCAGCTCTTTAACAATAATGCTGGTGGATCAGTGAATTGGAGAGAAAAGGCTGGCAAATCAGTGCTACTATTTCAGCAACGTGGGGGGAATTAGCTGCCTTGGCATGAGTTGGTTTACAACCAAGAGGATCACAGAGAAGAAACTCCCAGGGTTGGTCCCAATAATTAAGGAATTGGTTACCCTGGAGCCCAGCTTGGCAAGCTAACTTTATCTGCTTAGAACTTTTGAAAGCCATGTCTAACCCTGGTGTCAGTTTGACATAAGTGCATTAATATATGTGTATAAATATATATACACATATGTGTATACACACATATATTTATATACTAACTTCCACATTTCTACGCAATCAAATTGAAAAGGACCAGACAAACAGTGTGAAGGTCAAATAATTACTGTTTTATATTGGGACAACACATTTATTATTATTTCAACCAAAGAGACAAAACTGCAGTTTTAAATCAAAGGCACAACAACTAAAACACAGAAAATACTGGCGGCTCTCAGACGCCTTACTTCTAAATTAAATAAACAAGTACACAATTTTGTTCCCTCCCCCAATTCAGGCCCACAAGCTTTCCTACCCCTCAAATCTACACTTCCCAATGTCTTAAAGCATCTACAACTTGGGGCTTGGACTTGTGAAGGTGGTTCAAATGTAACATTTCATTAACCAACAAAATGCTTGTGAGGTCTTGCAAAGGGCATCAGAGCAGGTACCTCAAAGTGCAGGCATATCTGTACCTTTTCTAAACATGTTACAGGCCGAGCTAACTCTCTTAACACTATCTTTCTGCTTGGACTCAGGAAGCAGGCTTAATAAATGCAAAAGGCATACAAGTTGTATTTCAGTGCAAATCTTCTGCTGGTAATCAGAAAAAGTTCCAGCTATTAAAAAAAAAATCCTTCTTTTTTACTCCACCCTCCCACCTCCCCTTTTTCCCCACAAAAACAAAATTAAATAGCACAAAAAAAGGACGGGGAAAAACAAGGAGAGACTTTGGAGTTTAAGAAATCCACTAGCCCTAATTCCCATATTTTTAAAATTCAATAAAGAATCATTTTTAAAAAGATCCTAAAAGTAATCTAGTTTTATTCAGGCTGCTGATCAATTTTAAAGTCTGAGCATAGGCTCTCTCTGAATTTGTACTTTAGAGTATATGGAATGGTTTGAGGCAGCTAAATGTATAATCAGGCTGAAGGTACATACATATGGTAAGGATTGCAGGCAAGCAAGAAAGCCCATGGTGGTTGTCTATCACTGATTAAGCTAGGTAGCCCTTAAAATTGCGAAGTATCTACGGCATTTGGGACCGCTCTAATCACCTTGTGCCAGTTGCTGTATTTTAGTTTTATGCATCTTATGAATGGTCCAAATTCAATGAACAGATTAGCCAAAGAGGCGCAAAATATGAAGGCCTTACAATGTTCAAAAGAAAAAGATTAAGGGGAAAATGAACAGATTTTAGTGAGCAGATATCTACATACAAAGTTTCTAGAACATCTATAAAAGCATGTTGTAAGAATTTCTTCTCCATTACATTAGTTTATATAAAAATGAATAAATAGTATTTATAGATTTAATGTGTTTATGTACATATACATGTGCTCTGTTAAGCTTAAATAAAAATGCTGCAAGGTGGGGGACCAAGCTGGGGAGAAACCATGGCCAAATGGGGGAAAAAAAAATCAGCTTTCTAAATTAGCAACCCCAAAGCCTCCATAAACAAGTTTCTGGGAGTGTCTAAAAATAATTCAACAAGGTGAGGAACTGTAGTAACATTGTACTATCCCCTTGTGTTTACTTGCAACATAGAAAGTAGCAATGTGAACTTTTCCTTTCATTAATGACAAAGCTAGCTCAGCTAGCTCTACAGCTCAATTATTGCTGAAGGTTAAATAGGAAAATAGATTGGAACTGGACCAAATGTTGCTTATTTTTTTTAAGAGGCATAATCATTTTTGTGCTAATGGGAAATGGAGATCATCTTGTTCATCTCTGAGGTAGAAAAAAAAATTATCCCAGAGACAAGTAGTATTAAACTTTGAGGAAAAATAAATGTGTGTCTTGGGACAGCACTATTCAGCAATAATATGGTGCAATCCCCAGAACATGAGATGGGGATAGATTGTACCATTTAGTTGGTGAGAAAAACATTCAAGAAACTTGATGAGTTGTGTAACCCCGAAGACATGTTGTCCAGTCGAGGTGCCTGGTTTAAAGCAAGAGATATTGCCCAAGGCTACATACGGGTCTGGAGAAATTCATGTGCAGTGTTTGAGGGGTAAGTTTTCAGAGGATTAGGGATTTTTTTCCTAGCATTCCCAGGAAAACCTGGGGTGAGGCACACAGTTAAGCGCTCTTAAATGCTCTTTTCAAAGCTTACTTCATAGTTCTGAGATTAGGATCTCAACTTGAAAAGTTTGGTTCCTTCAGGTTTTTTGAACAGAAGTCACAATCGAACAATTTTGCTAGACAAGATACATAAACATAGCAAACAGAAAAATTTAAGATAGGTTGAGAAGACTAAATGATGACAATAAGTAAAAGGGGAAATTACTGATACTTGGGAGTTGGCTCTAAGTCTAAATATTCTTGGATGTTTCAAAATTTGGTTGGAATGTACAGTCTCACAGAGATGAATTTTTATGGACAGAAAGAGAAGCTAGTGGATGCAATCAGATGTGTGCTCCAGAGAGTAGCTTTGTAAACCCACGACCCTATGCACTTTTTTCTGAAAACTTAGGCAAAGCTGATTTGGGTAAAGGTGGTGGAACATCGAAATTTACGTGCAAGGGAATTGTGGGAAGGTCCAATACACTACCTAATAAGATCCAAGAGGGAAAACCATAAGGAAGGTAGCCACTGCTAGAGCCGTCTCTTATAGACCGAGACAAGTCTTGCGATTGTCCTGCAGCTTTATTCTCTTAATGCTTGAGCTGGAGTAGCCCTCGTCACTGCAGAGGCTCTGCATGCTCCCCCTCTCGTCCGAGTCACTCACGCTGCTGCTGCTCCAGTCCAGATCGCCTGTGAGATAGTCTGTGCTTTCAACGTCAACATCAATTTCTTCTATAGAGAAGAGCAAAAGGGAGAGTTAAGGGCATTCACAGTCACAACAGAGCAGACATCTCGGGTCCCATCTCCAATGAATGCAAAAACGGTTTTCCCTCCCTGAATGTATCTGGGGAATTGAAGGGAAAAAGACTGTTTCCTGAAATAATCCATTTTAGCCACTGCTTAAGTTCTTCAGGTGAGTGGCAGTTCTCCATTTCAATTTAGGCTGCATCACGCCAATGAGGTAACATGGTTATTAGAGAAAAGAGTCTTGGATTTGGAGTCAAAGGAGCTTTGTTTGCATTTTGGCTCTGACACTTTCTAGCTGTGAGAACAGAGGTAGGTTACTGACTATCCTGAGCCTCAGTTTTCTCATCTGTAAGTTAGGGGTGATCCTTGCACTTGCACTACCTACCTTACAGAGTTGTGAAGGTAAGCAATTTATAAACATCAAGAGTACTAGGTAAATTCAGTACTTCTTTGTGGAGCATAGAGAAAAGAAAATATGGCTGTGGAGGAGCAAAGGGAAGACATTTCACAAAACAACCCCAGTCACTGCGGAGAGGGTCTCACCTCTGTCTGAGTCAGAGCGTTCTGAGCAGACTGTTGATCCTATGCTGTCCATTCTTATTCTCTCGATGCCCAACTTCTCCAGCTGCCTTTTCAGGTGCCGCTGTTCTCGCTGTAACTGGTCTATTTGGTGTACTGCTTTTCTGTCACAGTCTTCAAGCTTCTGCAGGTTAAAGGAGTTTTCAGAGGAATCCTTAGATTAGGTTTAACCTCATAATTAAAACTGCCTTGAATCTGTGTCTCATTCCTGAAATACACTCCTGTCCCCAGAAGGCTTTTTGGTGTCTTGACTTTCTTGCTTATCTCAGAAAGGAAGTTCACTGGGGAGCCACTGTTATTGTCCTCCAATGTCTATGACATCAGTACTCATTTCCTTAGAGGGATCCCAGCTTTAGATCATGAAGGAATCCTAGACTCCTTCTAGTTCATTTTTAAATGAGGAAACAGAGGCCCAGAAAGGTTAAGTGCCTTTTCTGAGGTCACGTGGGCAATGAGTAGGAAAGGCAGGCCTTGAAGCCAGGTCCTGTGGCTCCACTTCCTGGGCTCTTTCCACTGCACCACCTGACCCCTGAAGAATGTGGTCTGGTACCCCAGCATCCTAGCTTTGGAGTCAAGAATGCTCTGAGGTCTGTCTTATGTGTCTAGGGAGACACACTGAACTTGAAGCTTCACAACATTTGAACAGCTTTGAAGAAGCTATAGGTTAAAGGGTCTTGAGAAATATACCTTAATTTAAAGTCATTTTTACTCAACCTATCTCCTTCAGTTACAGAAGTACTTTTTTTGTGTCACGTTAAGTATCAAATTAACTTCTTTTAAAGCCCATAATAACAGTTCTTTTTAAACCATTATTTTAATCACCTGGCGTAAGAGCTCAGACATCATTTACATTTCCAGGGAGTGCTCATTTTAACACCTCCCTTCCCAATCCTGCCATGTTTCCTGCCATCAGAACACTATCCTTTACAGCAGGAGTATCAAACTCAAATAAAAACAGGGGCCACTAAATCGTACTAAGGACTTCTATGGGCAGCATACGGAGTTAAAAAACCACAGATTTATATATTTCTTATTTCATTAATATATCAAAGAATTAAAATCAGATTGGTACTACATTTTAATGTAGATTGAGCTTCACTTGGGGACACTGGGAGCCACATGTTAGACACCTCTGCTGTAGAGCGGAAAGTTTTAAATGATGGCATCTTTTCCCAGAATTATCTTAAGAGACTTATCAACCAGTGTTTCTCCTACTGAGGAAGTAAATATAAAAGTACTTTAAGCAGGAATCTTGATGACTGGGATATGGAATAAAATGAATATAATATTAACTCTTCATATAAACTATTTGTTATCAAGCAGTCCAGACCTTCATAACCAAGAAAAGTTCTTACTGGACAGTTAGAAATTCAAGGGAAGAAGCCAAATGTACACTCACCTTTATGTGTAACTTTGCTTTTGTTAATAAACTTAAAGTAGTGTGACGATTCGACTCAGGTCCAAGCGGTACGAGCCCCTTCAGCTTCTCAAGGCACAAGCGAAGATGGGCACGTCTGCAATGCAAAAAGTCACATTTTCACTTCAGAATACAATTGCAGGCAGGACAATCCAGCAAAAATAAACAGTAATAAAATAGGACAAGATAGATTTGAAAGATATCATTGGAAGAGATCTTGACAAAATCAATTTTCTTTTCCTATCAGATGACTGAATAAAAAACCAATGAGTATTTGGAGCTTTGTATATGGGGTAAGACCCCTTTTATACTACTGGTAATTTTTTGGTGATGGTGGGTGCTACCATTTGCTTCTATAGGCTTTACTAGATCATGTTTCTCTTGTTTGGAGTTATGTTTCTGGGAACATTTTATCCAAAGTACATATAAATCCATACAATTATGAGACATTCTGTGGCTAAGATCCTACTCAATTTGTCTTTGACATACTTTTAAACAGACACTGATAGGTCTCCTACTAGGACTAGAAAGAAGTACTTTATTGTAATTAATCAATTAAGTAACAGGTATTTATTAAATTTCTGTTATGTGCCAGGCACTAGGTGCAAATAATGAAGCAATCGCTGTATGCAACAAACATTATAATGGGGAAAACAAGAAGGACATATATGAATACATACAGCATAAATACAAATATATACAAAGTAGTTAAATACAAGGTGATCTGATAAAGAGGCAGTAGCAGTTGGAGAAATTAGAAAGAAATGGTTTCATGCAGAAAATGGTACTCGAGTTGCATCTTAAAGGAAGAAAGGGATTTTATGAGGTAGAGGTAAGAAAGAAACATATTTCAGGAATATGAGACAGCCAGTGAAAAGGCATGGTGATGGGAGAAGGAGTGTTGTGTATGAGGAACAAAGAAAAGGCAGGTTTGGCTGATCTCAGAATATAAGATGGGATGTAACATACACTGAGGCTGGAAAGAGAAGTTGGGGGCAGATGGTGAAAAGATTTCGAATCTAAACTGAGGGGTTTATGTTTTATTGTAGAGATAATAGTAAACTACCAGAAACGACATGGGGTGAGAGATCCTGAGGAGGCCAGGATATTACTGAGGTTACACACGTGGGAAAGTAGAAGGATGGTAGTGCCCTCAACAGAAAGAGGGGATGGATATGGAGATGGATATGTAGTTCTAGGAGTCATCTGCATAGAGAGAAAAGTTAAATTCATGGGAGCTGATGTTACCAATAGAGAATGTAGAGAGAGAAGAGACCCAGGACAAAACCTTGGGGAACATCCAGTTAAAGCCACAATGTGGTTGGAGAGCCAGCAAAAGAGATCGAGAGAGGTCAGGAAGGTAGGAGACAAACCAGGAGAGAGTAGTGTAACAGAAATCCAGAGAGGACAGAGTATTCAGGAGAAGAAGGTGGTAAATACTGTCAAATGCAGAATATAGGTTGAGAAGGATTAGGAATAAGAAAAGACAAACAGATTTGGCAATTAAGAGATCATTAGAAACTTTGGAAAGAGGAGTTTCAGTCGAGTGATAACTTGGAGGCCAGACTGCAAGGGGTTGAGAAACAAACATAAGGAGTATAGACAACTTTTTCAAGCTGTTTGACTGTGAAGGGGAGGAGATACATTGTCTGATAGCTTAAGAGAATGATAGAGTCCAGTGAATTTTTTTTATTTGTGTTATTATTATTTTCTTTTAAGAATAGAGTAGACTTGGATGTGTATACAGTAGGAAAGGAACTAGTTGATAGAAAGAGGTTGAAGATTTGAGAGGGAAGATGATACACTATGCTAGAAAAGGATGGGATCAAGTATACATGTAGAGGGGTTGGCCTTGGCAAAAAGGGTCACTTTTTTTTGGTCGGATACTGGGGAAAGGAAAAGAGAGTAGGAAATGTTGTCATGGGATTTTGAGATAAAGAGAATGTGAGAAGCTTCTGTGGGAGAAGAGGTTCTCCTTGAATTGTCCCAATTTTCTCAATAAAGTAACAAGCAAGCTCCTCAGCTGAGGAGATGTAGAGGGTGGGAAGGAAGGCTTAAAGAGAGAAGAGAAGCTTTGGAATAGCTCCTGTGGGAAGAGAGACAGGGAATCAATTAGGGAGAAATAAAACGCCTGCCTTGATGCAAGGAGGGCCCAGTTGAGGTTGGATAACATGAATTTGTAATATATCCAGTCAGCTGAGGTTTGGCAAGAGAAAAGTACTGACAGGTAAATGTCCCTTTACAGATAGGAGACAGTCGAATATAGGTACTTTCCAAGCCACTGGGCTTAACCGAATAAATCAGGGAAGTGTGCAGAAAAAGTTGGGTAAAGATAGAAAATAATATATGTCTTAAAAAGTTCTAGGTAAGAAGAATTTACTAACATATGGTGTGTGGTTCACAAGTAAGTATCCATGAGGTTTCTCTGAAATAACTGATACCTTGGTTTGGACTTAATTATGCCAAAATTTAAGAATCAGCCCAGTATAGTTTCTGTGGATATAAGGAAAAACCCTACCACAATTTACTTTTTCTTTAGGGCATAACTGAATTATACTTCCTCTATAAGGCCTTTTCAGACCGCTCTAACACAAACTGATTTCTTCTTCCCCTGAACTCACACCTTTATTATTGATAATACTCATTTTGTTGAAACAGAAAATCTATGATCTGTTGTAGCCTTAGTTTCTCAAGTCTATGCTTCCCCAATTAAAGAAAAAACTTTTTGAAGGCAAGGACAGTATCATAAATGTCCTTCTGTCACAATACTAGTCACCATTTTGTGCAAAGCTGATATGTAAATATCTGTTGATTGATTTGAGGGGATGAAGGACAGTCATAGAGTCAAAAGGATTAAGCTTCTTTTCTGCAGCTCCAGATGACAGAACTGGAACTTATGGCTGGAAGTTAAAAGAAGGCATTTTGGTTCAACATAAGGTGGAATTAAGAATATAAGCTTATCCAAAAATGGAATAGGGCTGTCTCTTGTGACATTATGGGTCCCTTCACTGGAAGTGTTAAAGTAGAGCATACATAACCCCCTTATCAGGATTATATAGAGATTTCAGTATAGGATAGGATGGACTTAATGACCTCTTACTTACTTACTTAATAACCTTCCAACTTTAAACACTATGCTACTGTGGTAGTACATGCAATAATTCCCTTGAGTTTCAGAATTTCAGATTCCCTGCAGCCTATAAGTAAAGTAATTTAACCATGGACAAAGTCAAATACATTGACACTTGGTTTCTCCTTTTGGATTTCCTCCTCTTGACAGTCTTGTTTAGTGGTCTTGTGTTAAGGAGAGAAGGCATTATAAAAGGTCTACCAGAAAGAGAACAAATCTTTAGAGAAGGGCCAACTGATCAGCATGCATGATCCTCACATAGGAGGTCAGTTCTTACACCTCCTCATGACTTGAGGATGTTCACCTACTGTGGATCAAATAAGCATCGTACTAGGCAGGTACTAGGTAACAGTATCTGAACAAAGAGGTCATCATCCATCTTTTCCTTTGATTTGACCCTACTCAAAAGCAGGGAATGGGAGTGTGTACTATCAGCAAAACAGTCACTCTAGAACATCTATAACCTTTCCTTATCACCAGGTTTTCTTAGTAGAGAATGACATGAAACAGGTCTTAAAAAGGAGTTAGTTATAAATGTAGAAATGTGATTTCACAACTACTTTGGAGTTGAGAGTACTGACTGTATAAAAAGCACCACCCCTTCATAAGGCTTCCAATCTCCCGGAAAATATTTAGATTTGGAATGATTGACCTATCTGCAAGTGAGGAATCAGATTATCAGTTTACCTCACCTCATTACCACACAAAAAATTAAAAACAGAGAAAACAGCTGTTAGCAGGTGAAAAACATTTTTACTTTGTAAGGGAATATTTTGGATGAAATTCAGAAAAATAGATTATTTTATTGAAGACACCATGTGAGATTATAGTTACTTATTCCTTCACACACATACATTTCTACTTAATACATATCTTATCAGCCAATTTCCAAATTAACAACAGAAATCAAGGTTGACCAAAACGAGCATCAAAACCATTTTAAATTTGATGGGGGGGGGGACTGGCATTTGCAAAGACTACATAACTCATAGCACTATCATATTAGTCTTTCCTTGGTATATTTAGGTTATCTGAATATTTAAATTATTTTGATGGTAGTGGGCAGATAAACATTCTTCTATTTTTAATCATTTCTAGAACTCTAAGGCTCATAAACCAACCAAGACAGCTGTTATTATTTAATAATAGGTGTGGTAAAAGTATTTAATAAAAGTATTTAATTTTTAATTTAATTTAATTTAATTTAAAAGTATTTGGTAAAAGTATTTAATAATGGGTTTGGTAAAAGTATCTCAAGCTTGTCAAAGAACAAAACAAGATTAAGTCTCTCTGCCTCTGTCGTTCTGTCTTTCTCTTTCTAGAAGTTCAAGTCAAGGGTACAAGTGGTAATTCTTCACAAACTGGCTTTGCATTTATGAAAATGTGACTGCAGTCCCTGGGGGGAATGTAAGATTTTTAGCTCCATGATATTTTATAGACATCTGTAGCAAAGTTCCTTTACCTGCTGACAATTTAGAAAGGGCAGTTTAATTATTCTAAATATACCTTTGGCCTATAATAGTTTTCATGGACCAATCTACCTTTGACCTGAACTGTAATTAGCAATTAGAAGAAACAAACACAACCCAATGATGGCCAATTTTTTTTGATCCAGTCCTTTATTTCAACAGTATAGAGAACTCCCAGTGTGGAAACTCCTTTGACTGATGAGTAGTTTAGATCCTTGGATCAAGGATTTAGAGCTAAAAGGGAATCTCAGAGGAGGCCGTCTACTCTAACCCCTTCGTATTACAGATGATAAAACTGAGGCCAGGGAAGCCATTAAATGACTTTCTCAAGGTCATAAAAGTATTAATACCACGGGCAGAATTTGAATCTAGGTCTCCTCTGACTGCAGGGACAGTGTTCACTGAATTATGATGACTCCCTTAAAACTGAAGCTTTTGTCTTGACAGTGTGTGTGTGTGTGTGTGTGTGTGTGTGTGTGTGTATGTGCATGTGCGCGC